TGGGTCATATTGAAAATATGTTGAAGAAAATGATGGAAAAGAATGCCAATTTGGATGCCCAACTTGCCTCACACAACATATCAATCTGCAACTTAGAAGTTCAAATGGGAAAAATCTCTCAAGCTCTAAATTCTCGCCCTAAGGGGGCACTACCAAGTGACACGGTGGTAAACCCAAAGGGTGCTAACAACACGGGGCATGCCATGGCGGTTATCCCAAGAAGTGAAAGAGGCGGGAATGCACCCACCTCAACTGGAAGGCAACTTGTTGATGATGATCAAGTGATGCTAGAAGAAGAGATCCCAAACAATGTGGTGAAACCTAATGATGATGTTCGGATTGAGATTGATGATAGTGTGTAAGAGACTTAAGAGAAGGTGACCCGTCTAAGGAACACATTATTGACATACCGGAGTCGGTAGTGCAAAAGGCTAAGGCACCATTGCCTAATCCTCCACCTCCATACCCTCAGATACTGGCCAAGAAAATGGTGAGAATAAATTCAAGAAGTTCATTGAAATTATGAAGAGTCTCTCAACCAATGCGCCATTAGTTGAAGCTTCGGAACAAGTGCCCAGTTATGCAAAGCTTATGAAGGAACTTGTGACAAAGAAGCGGTCAATGAATTTTTAGACCATCAAAGTCACTCATCAAGTGAGTGCAATTATGCATTCAATGGCTCCTAAGTTGGAGGATCCAGGTGCTTTCACGATTCCTTGTACAATTGGAAGTGTCAAGTTTTCTAAAACTCTTTGTGATCTTGGGGCAAGTATCAATTTGATGCCCTATTCAGTTTTCAAGACTTTGGGAATTGGGCAACTAAGACCCACCTCTATGAGATTGCAAATGGCTGATCGTACTATGAAAGAGCCTTTGGGAGTGATTGAAGCTGTTTTGGTTCGTGTGGATAAATTCATTCTTTAGGCGGATTTTGTCATTCTAGATTGTAAGGTTGATTATGAAGTGCCTATTATTCTTGGGAGGCCTTTCCTTGCTACGGGTAAGGCTCTTTGTGATGTTGAAGCTGGAGAACTCACCTTCCGGGTTGGTGATGAAAAAGTGGTATTCTATGTGTGTAAGTCCATGCAGCAACCAAATAGAAATGAGGTGTGTTATTTTGTGGACTTGATGACCGATGTTATTGTTGATGAAACAATTGCTAAAATCAATGTTGGTGATATGTTGGAGGTCGTCTTGCTCAACTTTGATGATGACGGGATGGATGGCTTCATGGAATGTATGTATTCTTTGCAAGGAACGGGGTCGTACAACTATGCACCCCAAAATTGTCCTTGGATCTTGAGAATAGAACAACTCCTCCTACAAAGCCTTCTATTGAAGAGCCTCCTACCTTAGAGTTGAATCCATTGCCTCCACATCTTCGGTATGAATTTCTTGGTCTTTGTTCCAATTTACCGGTTATTCTTTCCTCTTGTTTGACTAACGTGCAGGTAGATTCCACATTGGCGGTGCTACAAAAGAGGAAGTTGGCTATTGGGTGGACCGTGACGTATATTCGGGGGATAAGTTCTACCTTTTGCATGCATAAGATTATGTTAGAGGATGGTGCCAAACCATCTATTAAACATCAAAGGAGACTCAATGTGGCTATGCAGGAAGTTGTCAAGAAGGAGATTATCAAGTGGTTGGATGCCGGGGTTGTCTACCCTATTTCCGATAGTTCGTGGACTTCACCGGTTAAATGTGTACCAAAGAAGGGGGACATGACGGTGGTCACCAATGACAAGAATGAGTTGATTCCTACAAGAACGGTGACGAGTTGGAGGGTGTGTATGGACTATTGCAAGCTCAACAAAAGTCACAAGAAATGATCACTTTCCACTTCCTTTCTTAGATCAAATGCTCAATAGATTGGCCAGTCGTGCTTTCTATTACTTTCTTGATGGGTACTTGGGCTACAACCGAATTCTCATTACTCCGGAAGATCAAGAGAAAACAACCTTTACATGTCCATATGGTACTTTAAGTAAATACGAACTTTAAGTTTACTTTTCGACTCTAAAACTCTTTGCAGAAAGCAAAAGTTCGATACCAAATTATTTTACGTTGTTAATATTTTCAAACGAAAAAATTAGGGATCTTTACCCAAATAGCCGGTCATATTCATTATTTACTTTTTTCTAGCCATACATATAGATTATACATTGATTACACACAATTATACATCACATAATACATAAATTATACATATATTATACGTCCACCAGCTATTTCTAGTTTAAATGGTTAGGTTTCAAATAATTACTCAAATAAATTTATTGTTTCAGCTGAAGAAGAGTCTCAAACTCAGTAGACGTCGCTCCTTTGGGTTGTCAAAGTGGAGCTCGAACTTTAAGTAAATACGAACTTTAAGTTTACTTTTCGGCTCTAAAACTCTTTGCAGAAAGCAAAAGTTCGATACCAAATTATTTTGCGTTGTTAATATTTTCAAACGAAAAAATTAGGGATCTTTACCCAAATAGCCGGCCATATTCATTATTTACTTTTTTCTAGCCATACATATAAATTATACATTGATTACACACAATTATATATCACATAATACATAAATTATACATATATTATACGTCCACCAGCTATTTCTAGTTTAAATGGTTAGGTTTCAAATAATTACTCAAATAAAATTCAAATTCTAACTCCGCGTGTACTTTCTTAGCTTCGTCAATCCAGCAGTACTCTTAGTTAGGTGAAGAGAAAGGGGAGAATTAAATTTAGTAGGAGCCGATGGAGTGGCACATGATTGGTCTGCTTCTTTTTCTTTCTCCAAAATCAAAAGGGCTGCGTGTCAAATGTGGATTGCCTTATGCTATTGCTGCATGTTTTAGCCATGTGTTTTTTAATTTCTCTAATAGCTATTTGCTGGTGTCGTCTTGTCCCGCCCAACATATATAGAGAAACTCTACCGACACTTCTTTAATTTCTCTTTTCCTTTTCTATCCTCTTCACAGCCGGAGAATTAAATCTCATTCCTCTGATTTATTTTATGAAATGATGTCAGAGTAACATTTGAATTAACAACTTTTTTTTCATACTTCATCCGGTCCATTGTAAATGGTTTTTTGGTATTTTTTATAATTTACAATATTTAATTTTTTTAAACATTAAGGAGTTAATTTTTTCCAAAGTTATCCTAGGAGTAAAAAGTCTTGATCTATTATATTTTTATTGAACAAATTAAGGTTAATATGGTCAATTTTATTGTTAATTAATTCTAAAAGGTGATTTCCTTAAGATGTGTAAAAACAACTAAAAAATCAACTAAGGTGTACCCAAAGAAGTATTCGATATCTGCTACTCGCATTGGGACTAATCCGATTCACACCGCGTAAAGCATATTAAAGAGAAGCGTCCTATTATATTTTTACATTCTAATAACTCTAACCCGAAACTTATAGTTAAAGGTGGAAGGTTCCTATCCATTCCACCGCAACGATAAATTGACGAGATCCACTAAATAAGAACAAACCTGTTTTTCTTTTTCTCTCAAGAGCTTATAATAAAAGACGAACATCATAGTGCTTATGTACCCAAGTGTACCAAGTCTTTTTTCTGTTCTTTACTACTGTTAAAGACAACCTAAAATGAAAAAAAAAAAATCATTTATCTAAATAAATGCCGCTTGATCTGTGTGCGTGAACAATCAGTTTCCCTACTTTCAATCAGAAAAAGAAAGAGAAGTATATAAGAAAATGGAAAAAAGAGTTGAAGGGAAATGCAAAGGTGACAACTTTTAGTCTGAGTTTAGCTAGATACCGCTATTATAAGCTACTGTTTGCTTGAATTTCAGAATAAAACTTACCGCATTTGATAGCTTTTACATGTACAGTCAAATTCCAAATATTTTTGGATGTTATAGCGAATTGCCGTTATAGAAAATATATGTTATAACAAAATAGGAAATTTGGTTCCGAAAAAACTTGGCGTTTATAATGAAGTACTGTTATATAAGGATGCAGTTATAGAGAGGTTTGATTGTACATCACTTTGTGCAATATTAGTGTATTTCTTAATACGAGTGCTTATTAGAAGTGCAAATCATCAAATGATTCAAGAAATTCCTTATGCTATATCTCCTAAGTTCCCTTGATCTCTTGCTTAATCCTTTTGCTTGACGAAGAAAAAAAAGTTCGAAAGTTGCTTTAGTTAAATGAAAGCGTGTTATTGGTTCCACGAGTGTTGTCTGAGCGCTTTATATAAAGAAAAAAATGAGTTTACAAAATTACGAGCTGTTCGCATAAACTCAACTTGATAAAAATTTAAAGAATGAAAATCCTTAAAGCTCACCATCATTTATAGTAGAAGAAATAACACTCTCTCCATACCAATTTATGTGACAGATTGACTTGACACATAATATATGGGGAAAAAGACCTTTAAAATATATGGTCGTAAATATGAGATAAACATGTTATAATATTTCTTTGCCCGCAAAAGCTTCTCATTAATCGTAAAATGAAAAGTTTAAAGTTAAATTTTTTTTTAAATATAAAAATTTATTAAATTTTTTGGAATAGACTAATAAGGAAATAATATTATATAACTTAAGAATACTTGAAACATTAGAGTTCACCAAATATACTAGCCGCAGACCCGTAGTATGATAATCTTACTACTGAATTTCTTTTACTCGAGTATAGGTATACTATAATTAGTACTCCCTCTGTTCCAGTTTATGTGAACCTATTTCCTTTTTGGTCCGTTCCAAAAAGAATGACCCCTTTCTAAATTTGGTAACAATTTAGCTTAAAATTACAATTCTACCCTTAATGAGAAGCTTTTATAACCACACAAATACTCTGAGTCCCTTTTTAACTTATTTAGGACCACAAATTTCAAAAGTCTTCATTTTTTCTTAAATTCCGTGCCCAGTCAAACAGGTTCATATGAATTGGAACGGAGGGAGTATTGATCAAGTTGTTTCTGAATACTGGCGAACAATGCCACGCTACCTAAAAAGGGAAAAACATTGGCTGCCAATATTCTCTCATGTAAACTTTAGTGTCATTTACTGTTTTCACCTCACTGGATATTCAAAAATAGTACTCCTCGATCTAATAAGTATAGCAAAGTAAAATTCCCAACAACTGTGCACTCCAATATACGTACAAGAAACAGCCCTCACCTTAGTCATTCCCGTTCAATAAAAAGAAACGCTAGCTTACTACTGTACACAACACAATCGAGGAGGATCTCAAGATACAGATCTCTATACTCTGTCTTGTGCTCCAACTTCTGGGATATCTGAAGATCAAAGAAATCAATTACACAAGAGTACATTAATTAACAGACTGTAAGAATATATCAATATAAGATATGCGATTTAACAAAATAAGAAAGGTGTATATAGAAAATGCAAAGTTTGCAAACAAATAACTTTTATATATAGCTATATATAATTAATCATCTCTAATAAGTGGGATCAGTAACCTAGAATATAAGACAAATAATCTGATACAACAGGTTAAAGTATGCCGATATATAGTGTAGAGTCTTTACCTTATGATTCAAGAGCATAAGGTGTTTGCAGAAGATCATAAGGTGCCCAGAGGGTATCTAATGGACAAGGCCGGCTCGCATCGAGCCGAACCCACGGCTTCCCTTTACCACTCCAGTGCAATAGGCTCACTGGACCAGGGTGCAAATTCCGGCAGAGACCTCGGAAATTATCTCCTCCAAGACCATGTTGGTTCCACTTATGATCCACTGGAGCTATATTTCCAGCAAAAACAAGCAGAAAAGGTGGTAACGAACCCAATTCATAAATCCTCATTCTCTTCTGAAGTTCCATCCATTCTACAATCTTTGTTGTGTAATCTCCAGCTCTCCATCTTTCAAGATCAATGACCATAACACCCGTGTTGAAATAACAAGGCTTTCGGTTCGCGAAAGTCAAAGAAAGTGAAGGGTTTGACCAGAAAGTGGGGGTGAAATAAGTAGTGAAATTTGCATTGCAGTATTCTGGTGCTGCTAGAACTGCTTCTTCACCTAGAGGTGTTGCTGCCAGCTTGGCAATGTCGTCTACGAGAACAAGGTCTGAATCCAGGTACACAACCTACATGGATAACAAATATGTTAGAAAATAACTGTAATTTTCTCCTTTAATTAATTACTAAATTCTAGTAGAGTAATAAAATTCGTCACTAAACTTGGTTTATAAATATTAATGCCCTTTAGCAAGTAAAAATTCAGCCGCTAAAAATCCTTTTCCGGTTGCTATTTACAACCGAAAAAAATCGGAGTCATTGCCAGTCTAAAAGCCACGTAAAGTATACGACAGGATTTCATGTGCATTCAAATATATATAGATATACACACACATCCGAAAACATAGAAAATAATGAACATTTAGGAATAAATTAAGTAAAACATAGAACAAAGGTCTGGATCGAGGTAAACAAACCTTTTGGATACATCGAGGAAGAAGATCAGCGAGGTAATTTCGAGCATAATTTAGAGGACAATCTAAAGCAGCGCGAATGGATGTAGATATTAAACCTGCCACACCGGAATCTTGGAAGGGATAAATTGTGAAATGAAGATAAGGGAATGAATTAGCAATTGTGATGTTGAGATAATTAGTGTCAGCGGAGGAAGAAGCAACGAAGTGGAAGATAACATTTTCAGGGCAAGAAGAGTGTTGAAGAACAGAAAGAATCGCAGCCATTGACCCCCGAAGATAAGCTGCATCAAGAGTCATGGCTACATTTACTGCATTTTCAAAGCAAATTCCGTTGGAGGTGGATTTGATGGTAGCATTATTTGTGTCGGTGGAGGAGAAGTGAAGAGAAGGACAAGTTGGGGAGTTGTAGAATTTTGGGGCTTCTTTGAAATGGAAGTTCTTGGTATTGATAGCGCCTATAAGTGCAGCAAAGGAGATGGTCCATAAAAGAGAAATAAAGGCCTTGATCTTGAAACTCCCAAGTTTTGGCATTATGGAGAAGCTACATAAACAGGCACACTACTTTACTTGATATATATA